ACTTGATAGTCTTTGCTATCCCCATTCTCCCATTTAGTTATTCAAAAGAAGGTTCTTTGGACAGTTGATTTTAGTTGAGTATGATTCAATATTTTCAACCCAGTAATCCAGTCTTAGACAAAAAGAATATTTTTATGCCCAGAACTTTCATTTCCAAAGACAAATAAATCCATGAATCTTTAATATTTGTCTTTGGTATTTAAACCATTGTTGTTTAGAGCACCCCTACCTTTTCTCCCCTCTTCTATGCTGTTGACCAACCCCAGTCTTCCTTTCCCCTCTATTTCAGAATGCTGCAATTTTTATTCCATCTTTTTCTGTCAAAGCTCACCTTTTCCTGGAGATTTATTTTCCCTTGATCTTTATCTACAGCTAAAACCTGACAGTCAATTAACTTTTTTGTGCCATGCTCATTGACATTGTCATTAGCTTCCTTTCCTCAGGCTACTAAACCTTTCAAAATGACTATCCTTGACCCCTTCCTTAAGAAACTCATCTGTTCTCACATTTGTCTCACCATCTCTAAATTTTATTTCTCATCTAAGGCCCTCGAATCTGTTGCTTTTCAATCCTTGCTGAACACGCTGGATTCATTAGATAACCTTGCAGCTGCATTACCGCCCTGACTAGTGTTGCAAAGGAATACCTTCTGAATGCGACCACAATTTAGCATTCATTGTTGTTCTTCTTTAGGTGTCCATGCTGTTTCAAACTGTCAGCCACGTTCTTGTTCGCCTCTGTTGCCTGACCCAATAGATTGCTGTTGTGTGGAATTCCATTCTTAATTTCCCAAGATAAACAATTGCATTATAAGAAAGTCACCCATGTTTCTTCAATGATCTGTTGTTGGCTGCCTCCATTTCCCTTGGTTACATGATGAATGGTATTGCTGAGATTCACTGAGACCTCAGTGAGTTGCCATACATACAAGTGTACTTAAATCTATTTATCAATGCTTTCTCGGGCTCTTGACATTCTCCAACTGAATACAAGATAAATTCAAGTCATCATTTACTGCCTAACTAAACATTGCTTTCTTCTTAATGACTTTATTGCCCTTCTTGGCTGCAAGCTGAGGCTGAATCAGTTTGTGCAAAGTATTGATGTGATCCCAACTAGAGGTTTAAACCCAATGCTTTAATGAAATCCTTGTTGCTCTTGTTACTTCAATGCTTGATTTCTTCAACATCCTTGCTAGCCTTCCATTCTCCTTAACTTTCAACTAGTCCAGAATTAGCTGCTCTTTTACAAGCCTTCATCTTGTGCTGTTTGCTGACTTCCTGTCTGTTCCCCATTAAAGTAAATTTGAGGTTTGCATCCTCAGCTTCAAGTCCTTTCATGTTTTTGCCTGCTACTTAGCTGGCTTTTGGCCTTCTGGTTTTTTGCATAAATGCTCCTTCCTTTTTGTGAAATTGTATGTAGCAAAACCTGCAGATTCCTTGGGACAATCCCATGGAGCTTCTCTCTCAACTCCTTAACTGACCCCATTTTAACTAATTTACACCAATGTTTTGAATCTCTTTTTAAAACTTATCTTTTCAACCTAACTTCCTGTCATCTCTCTTCAGTCACACCATTACTCAATGTACATTTTTGGTTGATTCTCACATTTCTGTAAACATTTATGTTTTAAAGGTAGGATTCTGCCCTCCACAACAGGAGATCTAAAGAGTCTTAACCCTCTGAGAGATGAAATGCCTCCATATTTCAGAATTAAAATGGCACCCTTCTGGACCTGGACTCTCCCATGAGGGGGAATTGTCCTCTTAGAAGTTAACCTATCAAATCCCATAACAATCCTATTTGTTTCAATGAGAAGACGTTAAAGGGAATTGATAAAGTATTGTAGGAAGGATGCTTCCTTATATAGGGCAATCCAGAATGAGAGGTTATAGTTTTAGGATAAGGAGTAGCAGATTTAAAACACAAAACGTTTAAAAACAAAGGAATTGCTTCTCTTGAATCTGTGGAATTACACTACCCCAGACTGTGGTGGATGCTGGGATAGTGAGAAAATTTTAAGGAGAAGAAACACAGATTTTTAAATAGTTAAATTAGCATGCTGACAACAGTGGAAGAAGTTTTAAAGTGTAACTTTTCCTTCTCCATTCTTCAAATTTGGTCAGTTCTACAATTTGAGAAAATAAAATGCTTTTGTAATCAATTGCCACTATAGCTAATCTCAAATTGAGATAAGAACCTAAGAACTAGGAGCTGCAGTAGGCATTTCAAGGCTCCTTGAGCCCCAAAAGGTTATGGGGAGCAGGCAGGAAAATGGAATTGAAGCCGAGATGAAATAAACTATGATCTAATAAATGGTGGAGCAGGCTCGAGGGGCTAAATAACCAATTCCTGCTCCCAGTTCTTATGTTCTTATCTTTCTTTTATGAGGTGGGCTTTCATGGCAATTGATTACAGAAGCATTTTATTTTCTCACAATGTTGTTCTGAATTGTAGAATTGATAATTTGAAGAATGGGGTGAAAAAAGATAAAGTTTAATATTTCTTCTACTGTTATCAGTATGCTAGTTTTATTTCTCAAAGAACTTTCTGAAAGTAAATCATTGAATTATGTCTCAACGTTTTGCCCTGGTGTCTTCAGTGTGTTTAGTGGACAAGTTTAGTAAGAAGTATTGACTCTGGTATAGCTTGAAAAGGTGAATCAGATCAACTTCAATGCAAGAATCTAGCTTTGTGCTTAAAACAATGAAAGATATTGTTATGACTACTGTTATGATTGTTATATTATGAGTGGTGTGTTTTAAACCAGCTCTTTCAAGATAAAATTGAGTATGTAATCTCTCCTATGAGTTCTACCAGGCCATAAGCCACTTGTCTTGGAGACTGGGGAAAAAATTCTTTTGAAATCCAAATGGCAACTTTTGCACAAAGGAAAGGCCTACTGCCATTGCTGTAGGTAGATTTGCAGGTTTTCAAATTTACTGACTCAGAGACAGACTGCTTTGAAATGCCATGGGGTGGGGTTGGGGGAAAGGGGAAATGATCTCTGTTAACAAAAGTGAGGGTAGGAGCGTTTTCCCTGAAGGGTCGGTAAAAGATTTAAGGACTCTTAAATCCATTTTCAACTGGAACAGGATAGATCATGGTACTACTTTCTAGATGGAATGAAATTATATACAGTGGATGTCCAAAGAAACTTTGGGGTTCAGGGGCGTAGATCTTCAAAATGTCGGGAACAACTGCAGAAAATAATAATGGAAGCTAATGGAAAGCTGGCCTTTTATATCTAGAGGACTGAAGTACAAGGGCGCAGAGTTCTGCTGCAGTTATACAAAACTCTCATTAGACCTGACTTGGAGTATTGAGAGCCGTTCTGGGCACCGCATCTTAGGAAGGACATATTGGCCTTGGCGGGGGGAGGACAATGTAGATTTGTGAGAATGATCGCTGGACTTTGGGGGTTAAGTTATGTGGAGATATTCTATAAATTAGGCCTGTTTCCTCGAATTTAGAAGGTTAAGGAATGGTCTGATCAAAATCTTCAGGAAATTAACAGGAAAAGACAGGATAGATAAACTATTTCTGTTGGATGAGGCTTCTAGAACTAGGGGACATTGACTGAAATTTTAGGACGAGACCACTTGAGAAATGTTAGGAAGGATTTCTACAGACACAGGCTGGTGCTTGTTTGGAACACTCTTCTACAAATATCAGTGGGTGTTGGATCATCTGAGAGATTTTTTTATTAAGAAAAAGTATCAAGGGATATGGGTCAAAGGCAGGTATATGGAGTTAGGCCACAGATCAGCCATGATCTCATTGAATGGTGGGATAGGCCCGAGTGACTGAATAGCCTACTCTTGTTCCTATGTTCCCTCCTGTGGAAAATTTGTCCTGGCACGAGTCGGCCTTGCTGCTAGAAGTCAATTTGGGGATTCTCAATAGATAAACGGAAATGGTATTTGATGGACAATGGGATGTTATGACCAATTGAGGACAAGCAAGCCTCTTGGAAGCTTGGTGTAATTTTTGGATTGCATTCTGTATAGATTACAGTTCTGCACAGAACACAGTTCAACGTACAAATGTGCTGATGGGTTATTTGTTGTGCTAGAAAGTTAAGTTGGGGAGATACCTTTTCCATTGTTTGGAGTATTATTTGCTTACTAATTAATGTTTACTTGATGTTGATGTTGATGTGTTACTGTGAACATATTAAATGTGAAATATTGTGTGATCCTTTGAGTTAGTTCCTAAGAATTCAAATATTGTTTAAAGTGAACAGTCCGTGGGGATTGTAACAATAGAATCGGGGTGAAGAGCACAGGGATCTTTCCTTGTCATTATATTCTTGCATCTTTATCTGCCAGCCAAGGACTGGAGTTTCATCCTATTAATTTTCCCAGTATCTGAAAACAGTAATAATTCATTGTAAATCAAATTAAATTAAATGCTGTATCACCTCCCTTCTTCAGTGTGGTGATAGCTGTTGATGATGGTAAGTTTTGAAGAGTAATGTTAGCTGTCTGTTATTGTGATAATTCTTTATGATCTGTGAGAGTGAGTTTTGCTATGTTATTTGATCATGAAGCCCAGCTTGGCCATATTTCACTCAATGTTTGAACATTGGTAAAGATTCTTGGATAATCATTTGGAATGTAGGCAGTTGGCTTTTTTTAACCCATGCAAGGTGCTCAAGGCAATTCTGGTTCTCTAACTGCTTCCCTAGTAAAGCCAATGAACTCAGCATAGACTTAATGAATTGAACCTCCGAATATCTTATCTATAAGTTAGAACTAAACTTGGCACTGTTTTTATGCGGTAAACTAATGATGGAGATCCTAAATGCTCAACTTTTGATGCAGTAGATGTAACTTGAAATTTTTATTACGTTTGATGATCTCGTGCCAAAGGCTTGAGGAAACTTGAAATCTAAATTAATTATGAGTGATTCATATTTGTCGAAGACTTTCATTATTACCTGCGAGATCATGAAATGTTCTTCAACTATTAAGGAAACAATGTTTATTTTTAAAAAGGTAATGCACAAAGTGGAAAGTGGCATACACTGTTTGGAGAATGCATTACAGACATCAGCGCATTCCTGTGATGAATCCTCCCAAAAACGGCCTTCAGGCAAGCATTCAAGAAGTAAGTTGTAACTTGCTGAAATTTTACCTGGGTTTTGGATCTGTCACTTAATGCACTCGGAGGTTTTATAATGATTATAATCTACAAATTATAGGGTGCAGAACAAATGCTTCTTATGTTTGCATAACAATGCTTACAAATGTATAGTGTTTCCAATTTTTGGTTTTCTCTAGTTTGATTAATTTCTTTAAAGTATGTTGCAAATTGCACAGTTAAAACAATTTATCCCAAAACAAGTAACAGAATAAAAGAATGAAAGAAGTTCGGTTTTAATGGAATTAGTTACTATAATTTATCAAATGTAGGGCCTCTTCTGTACTGTATGACTGTATAGTTCTATGAATGTGATGTTTAATGTTAGGTGTTGGGAATCCACTCCATTTAGAACCCCTAAGAGAGACAAGATTTTTTTTGTCATTTATGCAGTCTCCTATTCAAAGAAAAGCTGTCATTCATACCACTGAGAAAATAGATTGTGAGGAGAAAGAAGCATCAGGACAAAGTCCATTAGAAGCTTGGTACTATAAAAGACACGATGACTGTGTATATGTTCTTTTCCAATATATACAGAACTCGTTCTGGGAGTGTGTCGCAATGCTTTCTATCCTTGCAATGTCACACTTCCATTGTTTGTGGCAAACTGGAAAAGTTTTATATTATTTTTCCTGTATCTCTGGTTCAAATCCTTGTTATCCTCAACAATTGCAACTTGTCTTTCTCTCTCTACAATTATCTTTTCCTTCTCCGCTGACTCCCCATTGTCCCATCAGCTTGCCCTATACCTGTAATGAATAATTTTGTCAATTGTTTATTGTTCCTATCTGTGTTATGTAGGTTTTTTAGTTTTGAAATAGTTTTAAGCATAACACTGAAATTTAATTTTGTAACTTTATATTGTATGTTTATTTTCCTATTCTTTTGACATTGTATGAAATGCATTTGAATAAAACCAGTCAGGCAAAACACCATAAGTAAGATGATCATGCAATTTTGAGAAACACTAACTGTTGGGAGCAGACAGCTATTCTCTTCCAAAGCACATCGATTTTTTTATTTACTTGAAAGTGCTACAAAGGCAACCATTCAGAGTGACTTGAAATTTTTCCTCTGCTTAACCCTTTTGTGAATTAGTTCAACACAGCTGGAACTGACCTGCTTGCTAATGCCCCTGTGCACGACCTATTGTATGAACCTGTTTATTCAGAAGTTTAATCTATTATGGATATGTTTGGAGTGATTAATATTAAATTGTCTTTTGAAGTGAGCTGGGCTTACTTAATATTGTAAATCCAATGTATAAATTTAGAGGCATTAAACTGATTGATTTAACATTTGATTAGTTTGCATTCGTGCAGCTTTCGTTTCAGCTGATTAAGACCTAGACTTGCCTGTTGGAACTTGCTTTGTGTTGGATATAAGAAAAAGAATCTGGTGAAACTAGAATCAAACAAGCCATCTCTTCAACCTCGGTCACACCTTTGCTCCCATGGACTTTATCACTGAAAGGCACTATAAATAATTTATTTTTCCCTGATTATTTTCCTGCCAACTCCAAACATGCCACTGTCATCTCCACCTTGCATATCTCTGGTACAATAACTTCCTCTGTGGTGTCATATCTGTAGGCTCTAAGTTTGAGTTGGTAAACAGTTGGTTTAGCTATTAACAATGATGGTAGCTCAATCATTTTAAACATACTGATGCAACCTTTCCGTGAGTGAGGTGTACTTAGACTGCACTGGAAACTTCCTTCACTGTCTTGTTTGATCACTTACTTCTGCACTTCCTGCGAGACAACAATACATACATAGAAGATACTAAAGAGACACCGAGACTCTATAAAACCACAATTCATTAATTAAATACTTAAACGAATAACACACACCTCTAACTACTAGAGATATCTCAATCACTGTCTTTCACTACCTTGATTTCTGTAACTAAACCCAAATGGTTTTACCCAGGAGAGTTCACAGCTGACCAGGCTGAAACTCCGCTCGACGTCTTCACCACACCTCCTGACGGAGGGTACTCCTTGCCCAACATTAATCTTTGAAGCGTTGCTGAACGAATTGATTTCTTAAGGCTCTTTATACACAAATCTCTGTGCCAAGTGTGTGCCTTATTCGGAATTATGCGTGTACATGACCAACCCTGAATGTTTGGCCAAATGCATGTCTCATTTGGACTTATCCGTGCATGTGAGCAATTCCAAATGTTTTGTCCAAATGTGTGCCTTATCTGGTAGAGCAAACAGTTCCTGATTTCCTACAGTTTTAACTCTTAGCAGATCTGACTGCCTCAATGTAATTCCATTCACATAACAGCCCATAAGCATCTCAGTTCCTGTCAGTTCCTGTTATCTTCAGCCTTATCCAACATCTCCCCCTTTTTGATCCAAAGATTTATCTGAGGATCATCTCTATTGGGTTTGCTACATCCTCCAGTGTCCGTCCAGACAGTGGTGAATGTTACCTCTTTACATTATTGTATTCTCTACAAAGCATTACTTTAGTTGTGTTATCTGAAATATGATTTAGATCATTGTACTTATCAAAACCATAGTCATAAACAAAGTTGCAAATCAGTCTCAATCCATTGCAAATACATTGTTATATGCCATTCACATCTTGTAAGATACACATAATATCAATAGAAATGACAAATGAACTAATTGTAAGGAGTACTACCGACTAGCTATATTTACATTATTCCTACCCTATAACAAGTCATTACAAACCCTCTTCCATATGAGCTATCTTTTGGTATTTGAGACCAAGCCCTGTTGTTAGTTCCTTCCATTTCTTAACTTTACTATTACAACAAGTATAACAAATTGTAATACAACAGTCACATGAGAGACAATTCTGATTCAATGGACCTGAGTGTTCAGGCCCCGATTCCAAATTTTACAGCAGAAACTTGGAGCCTGCAAGTCTCTTAATTGCCTCTTCTGCGTGAGTTTTAATCTCCTTCTCGTGCGTAGCCCATCAAAGGATAACTTCCTTTGCTTCAAAAATGATCTTCACCCAGTCTGCAGTGAAGTGTGGAATAGGTGGAAGTTCTGTAGCTATGAATTGGTGTAAATCACCATCTATTATTTGGGTGGATGGATAGATTTGTGTGCAGTTTCTCATTGGGTTCTGGCTTCGACAAAACTTTGTGGCTAATTGTTAAGTCAGAAGAGATATTGCTGATTACCACATTCTGTTCAACTAGGTTACACCATGTCCTTCCTTTTTGGTATCCTGAGGCTGCTGTGGCGACAGCAGGTGTTTCCTATGGAGGCATACTTAAGAAAAGTTTGGTTATTCACTGGTAGAATGGACAATGAACAGTTCTCATAAGAGGCAAATTCACACTGAGTTAGTTGTTCTTTGATCATTTCTTTGGGACATGCCCAGTGGTTTCCCCCTTGATGGCATTGGGACAAATCCACTGCCCCCCTTTTTGGATCCCTCTAGAACTATAGCGTGGATTGCACGTTCCTTCATGGTATTTACCTACATTATGAACTTGCATTAGGCAGTATGTCAGATTGTCCCTATGTTTGGGTACATGAAGCACTGCACTATTGTAAAGCAGACCTTTACTATCATCACAGGTGCTGAAGACCTGGTTGGTGAGAATGAGACTTCTGAGGTGACAAAGGGGAGTCTTCTCCCCCTCCCATGTCGTCAGTTACTCATCCAACAGCCAGTATGGTACTCTTTGTGCATCTAATTGCAAGCTATTTGTGCTCACATAGACAGAAGTCAGCTGGTATATGTTGAACAAAATGCTGCTTTATTATTGTGCATTGTATCATAAGCCATTCTGTCTGTAATCTCATTAATAACATTCTGAAGGGGTCTTAATATCTTGATGGTGCTCAGGGTCACCTGTGTCGCTTGCTGTCCTATCCTTATCTGTCTTTTCTTGATCCCGATATTCCTGAACTACTATTACCCTCCTCTTTTCCTGGAGGGAAATTGGCTGAGCCTCCAATTCTGCTACGTCAAGGGTGTTAATGGTTGCTAACTTGATGCATAGCCTGCTCGTACTAACTTTATCAACCCTCTCTTCTTTTTTTTTCTCTTTCCGATGTGAATTCACTATGACTAAGTTGTCTCTGGAGTAGGTGGTCAAAGAGCTGCCAGATTGTGTTATCACACCAGGATGGCTCCTGTGTATCTGTCTGGTTAAACAGTACCTGTGCATGTCTATATCCTTGTATTAGAGTAACTATCTCCTCAGTTTCTTCCAGAACTAATCCTACTCCCCCTGTATCTCTCTGAGATTCACTACATCGTGGCTCTGAGGTTGTTCCAAGAGTCATTGTGGTAATAGGTTGGTAGTAGTAGGCAGGTCGTCCCTATAAAGCATGAGAGATGGTCCTGTTGCTGGATGCACAGCTAAATTTTCTTCAACCTCTCTGACCTTTGGGATGATCCCAGATTTATATTCCACCCTGATCCAGTCTACCGGCCTCATAAGTGCATGCAATTTTGGACCCTTAGCAAATTTTTCCTTAACTCACGTGAGTCCCCAAGGATTAATTTTGTGCACACATGTAACGGATAATTCTGTTCTCTTGCGCACTAGGGCAAGGATTGGAAAGTAGGGTTGGAAATGCCTAGAAACAGGCCATGGCTACACAAAAAAACCACATTTCTTGTCCACACGCGACCATTACCTTGACATTTGGTCAAACATGTAATATGCGTCGCTCACAATCAACCGATTCTTATCCCTTCCCGTTCACAAAAAAAATCAAAGTATTCACCATGGAAGTAAACCTCATTCCAAGGAAAGCAACAATAATGATCTTCCAGATTCTCACGATAATTCTTCTTCCTGCATAACAAATGTTGTTTCTGCTCTTATGTAGTCAGTCTGATTTTATTCCTTTAATTGTATTTATAGTGGTAACCTCCTTACACCCTTGGCCAATTCAGGTATATCAAGGGCTGGTTTCTGCCTTCCATTCCTTCCTCTCATCCATTTCGGTTGGAGGTTGG